GCAACAAAAAAGGAAAAATGAGGAATTGGGACGACGCAAAACCCATGACACAAAAAGACGTAAAGTACGAAGAACTTACTTGGACGATGAGGTCCATATCGCCATCGTAGATCCTGATGGGACCCAGCTTCTTCAAGTAAGCCTGATCCTCGACCGGGACAGCTTGGGCCAGGACATCGTGGCCGTCAACGGCGTCATTGAAGATGCCACCCTTCACGGGATACTCGACCTCGAGCTTGTAGGTCCCACCGACCAGCTCCTTGTCGGCCCTCTGCTTGCGGGGCTCTTGGCCGACAGGCGGCGACTGGGTTAGAGCCGTTGAAGAGGGGACCGAAACCGCGTCCACAACGGCAATGGCATTTGAGCCCCTGGCATCATCATCCGACATGGTCTGACCACCGGCACCAGCATCGGCCAGAGGGGAAGCCCTCTTCGGCTTCTTGGAATGCATGCCGGCCTCAGTGAGTTTTTTCTGGCCGTCATCCGCAGGCCGTTTCTTTTTCAGCTGCGTAGGCGGCTTCTTCGCCGCATCAAAGTTTGGTTGAGCGCCGCTCGCAACGGCCATCCTTGCGGCCTCCTTTGCGGCCATCTCCTCCTTTGCCTTAGCTTTGGCTAGGGCCATGACGGATCTACGATCCATAGTAAAGTCTGCACAACAAGGAAGACAAATAGTTAGCAAAAACAAGAGAAAAAATAGATGAAGACGCCAGAGAGGGTATTACCATCGGCGTCAGCAGGCACACCCATATCCGGGCCGTCGGCCTCCTCAAAGGTGGTGGTCATCTTCGGCCACAACTCGATATCACTTTCCTTGTCGCCGTATACATGATACCTCATGAAGCCGAGAGCTGTCATCTTATACTCCGTGATGTAATGTTTCACGCTCCTCGGCCCTCCCTTCAGAAACGCCGCTACCTGGGCATCCAAAATACTGCTCTTCGGCACGTCGTGAAGGGTGAACCTACCGTCATGACCAACTGAGGGGAACTCCGTGCTGTCCTCACCCAAGGATACGAAGACAAACTTGCTCTTCCAACCATGAATGGACGAAGGGAGGTCAGTGAAACTCCTCTTCTTCGGCAGCTGTTGGAGATTAGCATAACCAGCACAATTTTTGTGGCTCCCTCGGCCGATCTGGTACAGGTTCATGAACAGGGCCGTCGTCGGCCTAAAGTCTAACTCATCGCAACAGAGAAGAAAGCCGACGATAAGCGAGTAGCTGTTGGGAGTCAACAAGACCGGAGGGAGACCCACCATGTCCAGATACTCCGTAATGAATGGGTGGAGGGGAAACCTAAGTCCCTTTGCAAAGCTCATGGGGTATACTCCAAAATACCCCAAAGGTGGATTCAACACATGATCCGTCGACTTGGGCACCCTAACCTGTCCATACGGCCCCACGTACATCTCGGCCACCAAGTAATCGGTCGCGCTACTCTCAGGCATGATCAGATAAAGGTTGGTAAGATCCAGGTAAGAGAAACCTGGACCCCTCTTCGGCCGCCGCCTTCTCGTCAGAGCAGCTCCCTTTACAGCAGAAACCGGCTTCGGGCAAGGAATTGCAGCCGATGTAGACGCTCCGTCCACAGCCCGTGAAGCCACTACGTCCTCACCATCAGACGACGATGCGGTCTCTTCGTCCTCACCCTCACTCTCCCTCGATTTGAAGGAGCTCAGCTCCTCTATCTCCTCACAGCACTCTTCTACCACCCGGTAATCAAGAGACTTAGCAGAGGGCTCATCGTCGTATGGGTAGTACTCGTCGTTCAAAGGCTTCATCATAACAACTAACTAAAGCCTAAGGATTTCTACTTTGGATCTAAGGGTGTTTCTCCACTAACAGAGGATCAAAGCTAAAATAAGCAAAGTACACAAGTAATTTTGGAAAAGTTCGACGAACTGACCTTTGAAGTTTTGAAGAACGGAAGAACACACACAAAGGCTCTCTCTCTAGAAAATTCAGTAGCACTTCGTTATCTCAGGGATGCAATGAGGAACCTCTTCGGAAGGGGGGGGGGGGGGGGGGGGGGTATTTATAGACCTTCCCCGAACGGTCACTACACGTGGCAACCTCCCATTGGCCACTTGAACGACCACCACCCCCAAGGCCCATTGGGCTGGCACCGGTTTAGAAGACGGGTCAGGCCCACTTCCACAATACCAGCTCATCGCCAACAGCCCAACCACTCAACGGCCATGCAAGGAAATCGTGCCTGCATCGGCCTCAAAACAAAGACACGTCAAAAGGGTAGGTCACATCCCAAGGCGTGTCCATATCGGATTGAACAGAATGCCAATTGCATGGCCTTTTCAACGGCCACAACGGTAAAAGCAAGAAGAAACCCCACACCATCGGCCCTGTGTAAAACCCTGATGATAATTTCTTGAAAGCGACCTGCGTCCAAGGGTTCTCCCACAGGGTTACCTTGGTCAGGAAATCGCCAAGGAATTGGATTCAGGTGTACACAAGAGTCCGTTTCGGCCTAGGCAAATCCTTTACTCCTTCACCCCTCACCTACTCTTCGGCCTGAAGCAGTGGGGGACTGGGGGACTACATCGGCCTTTGAAAATCAGGACAAAATAAAAGAAATCCAAAAATATACTAAGTCCACAACTACAACATCAGACATGCACCACAACGTCCATAACCTCGTGGTGCATCGTCGCCCGCAGCAAAGCTAGCGAACAAAGAATTCCCTCCAAAAGTGCAACACTTGAGATCACAGAGCACTTATCGGCTTTGAGACCACATGCTCCACTCTCGGCCAGGAATCAAAGAACAAGAAGTCAACATACCTGAATCACCATCGTCCATAAGACCAGGACACACACCACTCCCCCCTGATCAGTGCCATTATCGTCCCCAAAAGCGTGAACGCCAGACTACGGATATCACCGCTCCGGCCAAAAAAACACAGAATGCAGCCAACGGCTAAAGGAAGCAAACAGCATCCTCACCGGCCACCCGGAAACAAAAGGACACTCATCATCCTCGAACAGGAGATAACCACAAGGGCCTCATCGGCCCGAAAAAGCGCGAAATTCAGCCATCAACTGTCAGGAGTGGGCATGAACTTCATCGGCCATTCATGACAAAGGACGCTCATCGTCCCCACCCAGCAAAGACACTCGACGTCCTTAAATAGAAAATACACACCATGACTGGGTCCCTCTTCGTCTACAGTAGAAGCCACACAGCGGCCAAGACGCTGAGTACCCACAACGGCCATAAAACAAGGAACCGGATCAAAAGGTGCCCGTAACGGCTAAGAACAAGGAAGGGTCCCACAACGGCCAGAAAACGTCAGAGGCAAGAAATATACTCTCCCCACCTCATCTACATCTCAGCTCAGAGAGTGGGGGACTCCTGATGGAGTATATGGGCCTGGACCCCACGACCCACACACTCGGAAGAACAGAAGGTACCGCGATCACCTGGTGGGACCCTCGTCGGCCAGATGACCCCCATCGGCCAGAAGGCAGTCTACTCAGAACACGGCCCAGGAGCAAAGAGAACCGGGTGACCTCGTCGGTCGGGTCTTCGTCGGCCATGCCCTCGTCGGCCGTGCCCTCACCGGCCACGAGTGGCCCCCAGAATAGGATCTTGTACTTAATTATTTATACATCTCTTGTACCCGGCCCAATAGTGACCCTATTGTAAGTGGGCCTCCCAAGCCCAAGACTTGGGAGCCCAGCCCTAATTTTCCCTATAAATACTACCTCTGGGAGTAGTTGTAGGGGTTCAAAAAATCATTTATTGAATCATTTACTTGCACTTCTCTCTCTAGCTCTGACTTCTCTCCAGATATATATACTCTATCATGTTTAATGTGTATTTTACTATCCTCTATGGCTCTGTTCGGTGACCACTTGAGTTCAAAATGAGCTGAAATTTGATAGATCTAGACAATTAAATGACATATGGTTTTATTTGGAATAATTATATGGAATCATAAACTCTTCACGTCCTTAAAACCTTTTCAACTTTCCTTTTTTGATGCCCCACTAACTTTGTCACTTTCCCTTTTAAGTAAATAATTTGTAGTTCGAGATAATTCTCTCTCCTCTGCGCAAATCTCAACCACACAATTTTACTTTATTACTTTTCGTGCCGGTCAAACTTGGCAAAATTTTAAGAGACAGAGGGAGTATGACTTATGTGGCTTTACTTTGACCATTTTTTTTAATTGGATTGGAATTTTTTGATATCCTCTAGTGTGATTTTGTGTGATCAAATAATAAAGAGTTGACATAAAACTTGGACAATGTCTGATACAAACGAGTATTAATAAAGTAAAAATAACCATGAATTTTTTAGTTAAAAGGGAAAGTAAAAAAATTATTGAGACAACCAAAAAGAAAAATTGGTAAAAGTCTTGAGGATAAGGAAGTAACCGACAAGTACTGTGGGTACATGAACAAAATTGATTTCCAAAATTTTGGGATTTGTTATTTTTTCGTTCTAAAAGGTGGAAATCGCACACCCTTAGACGCTCTTCACTCCCGACGCGAGAAAATGTGTTATTTTTCAAAGCACACATTCTCATTGTACCCACTCTCATATCCATTTTATACCCATCTTGTACGTGAAAGTTTTTTTTTTTGTCTGTGAATTCGGTTCACAAATAAAATATTCCCTCCGTCCCTAAATGTTTGTCACACTTTCCCGAAACGGATGTCCCAAAATGTTTGTAATACTTTTTAAACTTCCTTATTTGGTAAACAAATTTATACCAAACAGTGTCAAACATTGCAAAATAGTGTCAAACAGTGCCAAACAGTGCCGCTACAGCGTGAAACAGTGTCGCTGCAGTGTAAAGTCAAATTCATGTTCTTAAAACTTGTAAAGTCAAAGTGTGACAAACATTTAGGGACGGAGGGAGTATGTCTTATTTTGTTTGTGAAGGAAGCTATACACAAAAAAACATTGCACAAATATGGTTAATTTGTTAGTATAAAAGTGAGCAAAAGGTGGTGTAAATAACATTTTTAAAGGCGTCGTTTGAGTTTTGACCGGCGTCACCGGCAGAACATAGGTGAAGGTAAATCGAAGTAATTCCTAACGTACAAAAAATATACTCCTTAAATAGTTAGACACGGAGTATAAGAGATTCGTCGCCGAGCGATTATTTGCCGCCTGAGAGAGTAAGATACAGATGGAGGCAACTACGGCGCCGGCGGGTATATACAATAATGGAGATCAGCAGAGAGGCGCCGGAGGGAAGTTCAAGAAGCCTTCGTCTAGGAAACCTCCTGCTAGTCCCTACGCTCGACCCCTGGCTGCACCCATGAATAAGTCTGGCCGCGGCGGTTGGTTAGCGAAACTCGTTGACCCGGCCTTCCGTCTGATCTCAGGCAGCGCCACTAGGATTATGCCTTCATTCTTCTCCAATCCGCCTTCCAATGCTCTCCCACTTCTTCCTATCACCCAAAGCAACGGTAATTTATGTTTTGCGCCTATGTAATTTGCATCAACACTTATTTTACTAGACCAGACTTGATTTTGTGTTACATCGAAAGTTAGATGATAGTTCTTGTCAGTTTTAAGTTGAGCACCAAAGTTGAGCCTTCTATACGAGTTTTGCATCGGGATCTGATAGGGTTTTTAAATTTATAATCTCAACATTTAACTTCACATGATTTCAGGCGTTCGTGTTTTTTTAGTTAATTAGAAGCTCAAAAGCTGAAGGTTTTTATGATAATTTCCCCTTTATTAGGGCATGCTCCTTTCTGATGTATTAAAAAACTTATTAGGGCATGCGTTACTCAATACATTCTCGATACTTAACACTGTAGCGCATTGTAGAATGGTTAAACTATGTTTATTTCATTTTTTAATTTAAATATCTGTTTTTTCCTTCCTTCTTATTCTTAGTATGTGCTAGTTTCTATATTTTGGGTGTTGCATATAGAGTGAGTACCATATCCATTACAAAAAACTGTAACATCACTTTTGTTGTGTTTGTTACAATATTTTGGTTTAGTTATATGAAATTGCAAGACCAATTGTTGAAAGATTAGGTAACATTTGATGGAAATCAATCAGTTTTAAAAACTTTGTTCATGGTCCTAACACTAACATATAGAGTTTTGTGACCATAATACAAAGGGAGAATAAAATTGAAGTGTTTTGGACGGTTCATTCTGTTTATGGATGGTGGGCTGCACATGAACATTTCACTTTTATTTCTACATACAAAGCGATTAATTATATGTATCTGTAATGACTCATGATTTTTCCATCATTTGCAATGGAGCCAAAGATTCATTATTTTTTGGCTTGAGATTATGATGGAATAAAGAAAAATGACTCACTAAATTGTCTGCGCTTCTTTGTTATGAAGCAGCAGTCAGTCCATGCAATTTTGGACGGGATTTTCACTATGGGTCATCCGGAAACAGTCTCTCTGTGCTTTAGTACAGGGGTAAGACTGCGTACATCCGACCCCCTCTTACCCCACCGTAGGTGGGAGCCTTTGCGGCACTGGGGTAAATGAAAATGATGATGAAATGATCTGTTATGACTTATGACTGCCATATTTTCCTCTGGTCGACTTAGCATGCTGTTTTTTTTCAGATACAGAAAATGAGGAGTTTATACAGAGTGCAAAGGATGAAGAGAAGTGCAGTTCTAGTGTAAGTGTTTGTCATTTTCTGTGGTGGGTTAGGTTTCATGAATCGACTACCAATGTTTTTACTTCCCTCCCAACCCAACAAAAGAAGCCTGCATTGCGTTTCTAGTTGTTGGTTTGAAGTTTGACAAGAACAAACTGTTTGTTTGCATATTGTTCCAATTTGATGGTCCATGTTCCTATTCACTTTGTCAACACACGTCATTCTTAATCTCTTACTTTATATATCAAAATTTTATTAAATCTGATTTTGGTTTTTGAAACTTTGTAAAGATTTTAATGTAGTTTCTGAATATGTATTTTTTTCTCTTAAAATAAATTGAGTGCGGACAGGGCTATGTTTGCTTTATTGTTGATCAAGTGATAGGAACCAGACAATAAACTGTATAAGTCCTGTAGCTATTACAGTAGCAGAAGCTGGTAATTGACGAACAAAGAGAAAAACGGAAGAAAGAAAAGGTTTGAGACAGTTCGAGTCGTCTCAACACTCCCAAGGCCTAATTCCAGATCCAAAGTTCTGCCTCCTCATCTCCTCACCACTCTCACTTATTTATTCTATTTCTAATGGGCCAGCCCACTATTACATTTGATTAAAATACTCAGTATTATTACTATTATATCTCACTCCATAAGCCCATAAGTCCAAGTCTCTATCATCACTCCTCCCTTTGACAACCACCTTGTCCTCAAGGTGGGAAGTAAGAGCCTTGACCTTCAACTTCATCTTCATCCGGGCACCTCTTCCTTCCCAGTATCTAATTGATGGCGGAACCATGAGCGTGCTTGCCTGGAGAACACACTGATCGTTGGGATCTTTGTCATTGTTTTGTTCCTCATGATCAGATGGTGCTGTTTGATCTTTTCTTTCAACATGCTTTTCTGGATGTACTGGTTGCGAATTGATAAAACAGCCAATGCTGCAAGTCATTAAAATAATGTGTCCATCTCTGGTTAAGCACAAAGCAAGTTCTTCCTTAGTTTCATATGAGATTCCACCTTCCGGTTTCACAGTGTTTTGATGAACACCCAAAGATGCCTTAGCAGAATAGACCATAGATCTTGAGTTACAGTGACTGTATATTACAAATAAAACCGAGGGTGAACCAATATCAAGCAGAGCAACCCGGCGACTTTCAAATCCCATAACCCGTTTGGATCCTGTTGCCATGTACTGCCAGATGCATACTGAAGAACTGACAAGTGAAGAGAGAGCTGTGCATTGATGCACAACACCACTTGGGAAAAGGGAAACTTCAGTGTTGGGTTCAGTGATCAATTGCAATCTTGTTTCCTCAGAGCCAGAGCTACTGCCAATCATGTAATCGTGAAATTGGATAGATTCGTGTCCAATAACAACACTCAAAAAATGAGTGTAAGAGTCTAGAGTTGTTGTTGCCGCAGTAGTACTAATGCTCTCCATGCCGTTTACCTCGGGTAGAGTAGCCAACGTAAGTGGTAAAACTGGGTACATGACCTTCACGTCAGATAAGTATTCACAGGTAGCAAAATGTTTATGGAATGATTTGACTTCTACCTGAGGATTGATGTGGACCAAACTGAGAGATGCTTTCTCTGAGGGACCGTTCAACATTTCAAAATGTTGTAGAAGAAATGAAGCATCTGGATGCTCCTGCTCATGAGTTATCTGTGACATTGAAATTAACTGATATCCTGAAACGATTTTACTTCTCCATGGTGGCCAAACAACGTCAAAGCCATCCATGTTTATACCAGCTTCTTCAAAGTTTACCGCGAAAATCAGTGCCCTGTCCTTTAACTCTGCCAGAATCCCAGAATGCAATAGTTTCAACTTGACTCTAATCTCCTCCTTTAATCCATTCATGAATTTGTCTTTAAGCGTCTCAGACTCCTTGAATTTCATAGAAGCTATCACCAATTCATATATCTCGTCATCTGATGCCTTTCGGTTCAAGTATTTTTGAGAATTTGGGAATATGAGGGACACATTTTCATTTCCATGCTTGCCAATAATAAATATACCAGTCTTAATAATGTTCTCAGCCTCTCAGGTACCAAGTGGTAAGCACAATTTGATATATTCAAATCAATCTCCCTTCTTGGGCTGATATGATTTCTGTTAATGGACACCTCTTTATATGATGTAGGCTGTGAACTGATGATTTCTCCTGTCTAGCCTCGCACTAGGGCTCTCATAGGATGATCCCGTTGATTTCAAGTCTCCTCCTGATCGAGTCACACACGAGCTATTAGTAGATGAAGAGACCTGCGAACAGGGGAGATCTGTTTGCGAAGAACCCTGAGGTCTAGGAGATACTGTTTGCGGCGAAGCTGGCGAACTGGAAGAAGCTGCTGACAATGAAGATCGAAGAGGAGAAACAGTTCGCAACGAACTGGGAGATGATGCGGTTACCCACTGCGAACTGGATGAAGCTAGAGATAAAGTCAGCGAACCGGAAGATGAAGTTCGCGATTGCGAACTGGAATGATTCCTGAGCGTCGAACTCTGCGACCTATGAGAAGCTGTACGTGAAGGGGCCTGTGAACTGCGGACATCTGCTCGGGGCGACGCTTGCGAACAGGGAAGAGCTATTGACGATCGTTGAGAACTGCGATAAATTGTAGGCGACGAAGAGGGCTGGTGAGTAGCGGCTAACGTCGAGCATTGTTTTTCAATTGGCCGACGATGTCTAGGAGGGCTCCTAGCTCTGTCTCTATGTCGCCTCTGACGGTGACGAAGTTTGCGCAACATATAACGCAACTCCTTCCACTGACTGTCGCTATTGTCCATCCTCTTCTTCGACTGTCGTTGAAACTGACGATCGATTCAGGCTCCAGGAAGGATGCTTTGATACCAATGATAGGAACCAGACAATAAACTGTATAAGTCCTGTAGCTATTACAATAGCATAACTGGTAATTGACGAACAAAGAGAAAAACCGAAGAAAGATAAGGTTTGAGACAGTTCGAGTCGTCTCAACACTCCCAAGGCCTAATTCCAGATCCAAAGTTCTGCCTCCTCATCTCCTCACCACTCTCACTTATTTATTCTATTATTAATGGGCCAGCCCACTATTACATTTGATTAAAATACTCAGTATTATTTCTATTATATCTCACTCCATAAGCCCATAAGTCCAAGTCTCTATCCTCAAGCATCGTAAACCGCAACGGGACCATCAAATTGGGATGGAGGTAGTATGTATTATGGAGCTCAACCAGCATGTGTGTGCTTCATATTCTTACCTCATGAATGTACAGTGATAATTGATTACATTAAGTATGTCTTGTGTAATAATGAGCAAAAATTTATTCCGAAAAAGGAAAGTTGGTGTAAGTTATTAGGAATGAGACGATGGGGAATGTTTAACATTGACAAATGAGTACTTAGAACATGTTAGATTGTCAATTATACGGCTACAAAGGAATAGCTGTGGAATTATGCAATGATTATTGTTTTCTCAGTTTTATGCGATATCATTATGTTTCTTTACGAGAAGTAAATAGCAGATATAAATATAGTTCTGCAAATTTTTTATACTTGGGAGGTTCTTAAAATCAAAATGTGAAACCCAACTTCTAAAGTGGACAATCAAACTAATTGTTTAACTGATATCCGATTCCATGCTACTATAAATCTTTTCCTGGTAGTGTTTGTATTAATATATTCACTTGTTAAATAATTGACTAAATATTAAGCAGGAAAAGATGCTAAGTTATTGCATTATTGCACTTCTCCGATTTGATGTTCTTGTGATGGCTTCTCTAGGAGAAAGAACCTCCTCAAAGTGTTATGAATTTATGTCTATGCAGTCTGCAATCAAATCTACTGAAAGAATGGATGCCAATAAAGTTTCAGAGCAAGAGAAAGGAATGTGTGAAGATGGAAAGCTGGGGCAAGATATGCTGAAGAGCTCTCCTGATGATTCCAAGATTTCCAGAATTGAGCAGCTATTGAAAGGGAAATCATTTTCTAGGTACCATCATACCTCTATTATTGATGTCCATGCTTTCTGTTTATAGAAAATTAGCTCTTGATTGATATTTGTTGTAGATTTAGTTTTATGTTCATACTATTTGAAACTGCAGCATCAATCTATAGCTTAGTACAGTAGTGATTTATTTGTAGTACAGCAGAACTTAAGTTCTTCATTATAGGTGAACTTCTGAAGTTGAGTGCTCCAATTCTTCTTCTTTTTATTTCCAATTAAGATTAGTAAAAACAGTGCATTTCGATAAAATGGTGTTTGGTGTTGTCGCTGAAAACGGGGTACTTTATCAACTTTATATGAGTAAAATCATACTCCGTATTTGAAAATTGTTTTGGTTTATGTTTAACTTTCAAGGTGTAGGACTATATTTGTACTCTGTGTGTGGGTGTGCAAGTGTGTTACATGTTTCCCTTCTTACATTTGGTATGCTAATGTATGATTTTTTATCAGGTCAAATTACTCTGATAAAATAGTATTACATCCGTCCCATTTTACATGTCTTACTTTCCCTTTTGGGCTGTCCCAGAACAAGTGTCACATTTCCTTTTTTGGAAAAAAATTTGTGGTCTACAACATTCCACTATATTATACTCAAATCTCAACCACACCTTTTACTTTTTCAACCACTTTATTAATAATTGTGTCAAACCAAAGTAGGTCGGAGGTAGTATGACACTATGACCTTGTTCCTTCCATTTTCACATTCTTTATTTGTTTCATGTCCTACTAGTATTTGCTTTCTCAGTTTTAAGATTTCAGATTACTCATTGGCCATTTCTGAATGAATTATCAGTTATATGTTTTTCCAAGAGTATGTGACACTACTCAAATGTCAATGAGTTTGTGTTCCTGGCTCTGTTTGTTACAAAACTAGTCTTCATTTCTATGCAGGGAAGAAATAGTCCGTTTGACTGAACTTTTGAAATCGAAGGCTACTGAAGATCTAGAAGAGGGTGAACCAAGCATGACGATATCAGGAAGGGACACTAAAGGAGTTCTTTTGTTGCGTGCCACACCAAAAAAATCAACTGAAAGAAGACAGGAAGTTGTGAACAGAGCTCAATTTGGACCATTGACACCTCTGCCCCAAACAAATGTGAGTCAATTGCTACTACCATTAACTATACATTCTGAGTTTCTGAACTTAAAATTTTGAATGGTTTTAACTTGAAGTTGATGGAGTACACATGTAGACATATATGCTTTCCAGTGGTTCTAAAATGCGTTAGGTGGACTGTAGAAATGGGCATAGAGCCTAAGCGACATCTGGGCTGGGCGCATAGCGCGTTAAGAACACAAAATTGTTGGATGGAGATGAAAATTTGTGAGAAACATATATTTGCATATTTGATTTACCTTGTAGAATATAAATGATATTCAAATGTGATGAGAACTTGTAAAGTTTTACTGCTTTTGCATATTTATATTTTTCATAGCTTTCATGTATATATAACTATATTAATAAATATCCTTGAGAAAATATTTAAAATTGATTTATTCAGTTTGAAGTTTGAACAACTTTCTTATTTTATCCCAAATGTTATTTCCGTCCAAACTTGTCTTCTATTTTCTTGACTTGCATTTTCGGGGTTCCAAACACACCCTAAGTGGCCAAGTTGAGCTTCTTGCAGGCGGTATAGGTTTAGATTTTAGAATAAAGATATTTTCAGTTGAATATATCAATAGATCACCTTCAGAAATAAAAAGAATTATTGCATGCATAATTTTCTTGTTTATAATGGACATCATCAATTGCATTGTTCTTCACTTCTACATACTGGATACCTTTTGAATATACTATTTTTTCAGGTGCAAGATGAAATTGGTGCATCACCCATTGATGTTGCGAGAGCATTTATGGGAAGCCGAATGTCAGATCAAAGCCCTAGCCATCGTAGTTTTCTTACCAAGGGTGAACGGGACCCAGAAAATGCATATCAATCATTTTTTCCATCACCTTTACCTAAACCTTCCCCATGTTGGCCCACCATGGTGTCAGACCATCATCAGGGCCTTACTACTCCACAGAATCAGAGAAGCAGATATGGCCTCCATGACTTTCCTAGGACTCCATATTCTAGAACTTTACTATCAAAATCTAGAACCAATAGCAGGTGCCTTGACCTTTCTGTAAAGTCTTCTCAACAATCTCCCATGTCAACTTGTGGGCAGGTAATCTTCTCCCGGCCATCGTAGTTATATCATCTAACATTGTGCCATATGCAACAATAAGAGTCTGCTTGGGATAACCCATGGTATAAGTGCTATTTCTCATAAGTGCCTTCTCTTTTAACTTCTTTAAGTGTTTTAACTGGAAAAAAAGAATGTGCTACTTTCTTAAATGACATCTAAAGTATTTTCTTAATGTTAAATCACATATTCCATTTTCTTACCAAACGCTTCTTTTTTAAATGAAATTACTTTTCTTACTCAGATACTCTAAAAACACTTTTCTCTCCAAAGCTCTATTGGAAAATGGCAGCTTGTTTTGGATAATGTAAAGCTTAATTTTTTTATTTTATCTAAGTGCTTCAAGTTTTACTTTTTTTTAGATAGCACCAATTTGTTGCTCTCTTAATAAGCACTAGAAGTGCTTTTTACTGACAAAAGCACCTTTTTACACTTTCCTGCGTAACGTTTCTTTTTTAGGTTAATGTACTTTTCTATCTCTTAAATTTTTCACTTTTTATTGTCGAAATTTCAGGAAAGGGCAAAGTCTGACATGTTTGACCACAGTTATGGATCAGTTGGACCTATCAGGAGATCACGCAATAAGCTAGGTTCAGATTCCCAGTCCAGGAAATCTATTTTCTTGAATCCTTCTAAAGCTGCTTCAGAAATCGAAAAATCACTTGTTCCTAAAACATTCTTACCTTCTCTGGGAAAGAATAAGGAAGCCAGTCGCCAACTTGATGATACTTCAAAGGCTGGGCCAAATGAGGCATGTAGAATAATACTAGAGCACATTAACAGGCACAAGCCAACGCCTAAAGAGAAGGCATATGAACTGAATCTGGCTACTTCTTATGCAAGGCCAACTGAGAGTTCCGAACTTTCACATTCTCAAATCCTAAACACGACTGAGTCAGTGACAACAAACTCTTTGAAGGACAAAAATAGCGAGGATGGGATCCTCCAGAGGAATTCCTTTGAAAATAGTTTAGGTGTATCTAATTCCAATGGGGGGCCTCCATTGTTCTCAAAGGCTGAATCACAAACGAATATTTTCTCTCCTCCTACTAGTGGTCCGAGTTCGTACCAGGTACTCAGTTGTTTTCCTTTATTTTCATAATTTTCATAAAAGTGAATGAAAATGGAATGGTGGATCAGATCCATCCATTTGGATGCCATGAATGTTTAGTGATCCATCCATTTTTCTTTTTAAATCTATTGATCACATTCAAAATCCATCAGAACCATTAATTTATCACACTTATCAATGGTTACTATATACTCTCTCTCTCTCATTAATGTTTTTTCAAGATGTTTTCGTTGTCATCTTTTTTTGAGCATATAAGAAATTAAATTTATGTAGCATTAATTATGCTTCCTGTTTAACCCTTCAACATTAAATACCAAGCACATAAAATGATTGAATAACATGAAAATATAGTATAGAACAAGAACACGTGATAGCTTATGTGTGGTAAAGCTAAAAAATAAGTAATTTGGTAAGGTAATATAAGTTGTGAGTGATTAAATTTTCCTCAGACCTTTCACATTAATTTGACTTGGATAATATAATATGCCTTGTGCATGCAATCTGTACATGCTAGAAGTAATGGTCATAAAGGGATTCAGTGAATTTAAATATTTCCATCTGGACTTACCGAATGGGACAAGTAGCTTTTTCATGGTATATAACATAAATTTTACCCCGAATGCTGAATAAACACTCAACCAATCCACCTTTTAGCCCTCAGTAACTTGGGACTTTTATCAAGGAGAATGGTAAAGCAATATTTTCTCTAAACACTGGTTCTTTTCTCTATGCAGAATTCACTAGAAACAAACATTGTGCCAAGAGGGACCCCACAAAATTGGTCTTTTCAACAACAGAGTAATGGCCAGAACGTCTCCACCAAGCCAGAGAATAAATTACCAGCACCTGCTTCAGGAACGAAACCCACTTTGCTGGCCATCAGTATAAGCAAGCCCGACCATAGACACAGCGTCATTTCAGATAATACACCCACTGGATTCACCTTTCCCGTTCCTGCCTCAAACGGTGCGCTCTCTGAACCGCCGCCGACACCCTCGATGCCATCATCAGCTGCAAAGATTGTGCCATGTCTGGATGAGCCGTCCGGTGACATTCCTTGTTACAGCTTTGGCACAGAAAAATCCTCGCGGAGACTTGTTTTCTCTTTCCCATCTACGGATGCTTCTGTCCCTGCAGATGCACCTGATATTAAGTTCAACTTTGGGCAGATGGATGGGAAGAGGAGGTTCTGTTTTAGTACTGTAGGTAAAGCTGTTTGTTAGAATTTCACTTTTTTCTTTTCTTCAGTTAACCTGATATACTAGGTGTCTTGCTTTTCATTTCTTTCTATGGTCAATAATTCTTGTACAATAGTGCAACCATTAAATGCATTGTTCTGTATGTCCTTTTTTTAGAAATGTCTCCAGTGGTTGTAAATTTGTCCATTCACGTTACTAGTTATAGCTGAACTCAATCCATTTATATTGAAGTACGATAGTATATATATTGAATTGGTGGTTTTTATAGGATAACTAGTACGGTACATTTATGCAAGATACATTTATTTTAATAAAATGACATGTGCAAATTTTGACCTTTCATGATGAATTTATTGGGCATTCAAAATAAATTGATTTGAAATTGGTTAAGAACTATTTTTGCTTTTTTCAAATACTATTTACGAAGTCTATTTTATAATCTAGTAACTAAGTATATTTTTAGTTAATTAAGTCATTTCACCTAGAATTTCACCAATTTTAATGAATCCGGTCAATTCAATCATTTTTATTGTTGTCAAACGGGCTCTAATATTTTTCTACTTCTTCCGTCCCAAAAAATACTTCACACTTTCTTTTTTGGGCCGTTCCAAAAAATACTTTCCAGTTCCCATTTTTGGACAACTTGTGTGGCTCACATTCATTTTACATTTTTCCTACACAACTACAACCACACATTTCCACTTTATTCCACTTTCTTAATAAGCGTGCCAATTCAAACCGGGGAATATTTTTTGGGACGGATGGAGTAATATATTTACTTTCTAAGCAAACACACATGGCACATACATTGTTTTATATATTTTCTGTCTATGCTATAGATGAGTTAACGTGTGTATATTGTTGATTTCAAATAACTCATGTTCATGTTCATTTTGATGATCATTGAGATATTATGCTATCGATCAAAAGATATTCTTTTCGAAAGAAATAACATTACGAACTCTCATTTATCTTCAGTTTTGAGAAAAGTTTAGATCCCTAATTTTTAAACAAAATATACATGATAGAGTATCTCCTAGATTCTAGAGAGAGGTGAGAGTTAGAGAGAGAAGTGCAATAATATGCTTCAATAGAATGATTTTGTAACCCCTATAACTACTCCCAAGGGGAGTATTTATAGAGAAAATTAGGGTTGTGCTCCCAAGCCTTGGGCTTGGGAGGCCCATTTACAACTGGACCGCTACTGGGCCGAATACAAAGCCTCTAATGGGCTGTACAAATGAGTAAGTATAGGATCCGATTCTGGGAGGTCTTCGTGGCCGACGAGGGCGTGGCCGACGAGGGCACGGCCGACGAGGGCACGGCCGACGAGGGTACCCGGGTTCCTTAAATTCAGGACCATAATCCGAGTTGGCTTCTTCTCGGCCGACGGGGGCGTCTTGGCCGACGAGGGCGCCACTCTGTTGTCTTGTGCTCTGTTCTTCCGAGTATGTGGGTCCTGGGGCTCAGGCCCATATACTCCATCAGGAGTCCCCCACTCTCTAAGCTGAGACGTAGACGAAGTGAAGGAGAGTAGATTTCTGTGCTTTGTTGCTTTTGGCCGACGCGGGCATTTCTAGGCCGTTAGCCGTTGCGGCGTTGGCGTTGTTTCCTCTTTGGTGATCCTGTTCTGTGCTTTGGCCGTTACCTGTTCCTCGCTGTGGGCGGGGAGGCCGTTGTTTCCTTAATTCGTTTTGGGACGATGAGTGTCCTTCTTTCAATGGTGGCCGTTGAAGGCGCGCTTTCCCTTTCCTGGCCGTTGGTGGTTGAAGTTCATGTTTGGGCCGGTGAAGCCGTTGAGGTTGTTCCTTGCTTTGAGGACGATGGCCTCATTTCCTTTGTGTGGCCGTTGCTGGTTGGCCTTCGTGTTTTTGGCCGAAGAGCCCGTCAAGATTAATTGTTGGCGGAGGACGATGAGTGTCCTTGTCTCTAGTGGCTTGTTGGCCGTTGCTAGTGACGTTATGGGCCTTTGGCCGATGAAGTTCCGTTGTGCTGTATGGATGATGTGGCCATGCTTTGTGGTTACCTTGTTCGCACTCTTTTGTTTTGTTGAGGCCGGTGTAGTTCCCCAGTCCCCCACTGCTTCAGGCCGAGGAGTGCGAGGGGTGAAGGAGTTGCTTGAGTCCCTGGCCGAAGCGGCATCTCCGTAGTCCCCCTGAATCCAACTCTCATGGCGATTTTCTGGCCAAGGTAACCCTGTGGGAGAACCCTTGTGCGCAGATCGCTTGTAGAGAGTTATCATCAAGGGTTATTACGAGGAGCCGAAGGCTGTGGGCTATTTGTCCCCTTTGTTCTGTGGCCGTTACGTTCCTGGCCGTTGCCATCTTCTTATTGTTTGGCATTTGTGATCTTGGCGAGCAAGTGGGACGTTGTGGGCACTTGCTGGCAGTTGTAAAGCCGCTGAGCGTGTGTAGGCCGTAGAGTCTGATTTGCCGGTGGGCCGTTGATATGGGTTGGTCCTGGCCCGTTGGTGACGTGGTGGCCTCCCAGTGGTGGCCGTTGATGTGGCCATTGGGAGAGTGCCACGTGTAGTGACCGTTGGTGGGGGGGTCTATAAATACCCCTTCCCCTCCGACGAGGAATCACATTTGCATTCTGAATTTGTCGAAGTGCTGGCCGATTTTCTAGAGAGATAAACTCCCAAGCCTGTTCTTCGTGTTCTTCGTTGTTCGAGGTTAGTGTTCATCACGATCTTCCTCGCTTTTCATACTTTGCTTCCTAGGTAGTTGATCTAGTGTTAGGCGTTTAAACACCTTTAGATCTTAAGTTGTTCTCCGTAAGCCCGTAGTAGTAGTAATGAAAAGCTTGAACGACGACTACTACCCCTATGACGACCAGCCCTCCACGAGGTCGCTTGACTACGAGGTGCTCGAGGAGTTTGAGGAGGAGATAGAGCGTTTAAGTCCATACAAATCCGCGGAGCTGATGGACGAGGAAGGCGAGGACGAGGAGTCCGCCTCTTCTTCAAAGGGTGAGGACGTGGGTGCGTCCCGAGTGGTGGACGGGGCGTCCACTTCTGCTGTCATTCCGTGCCCGAGGCCGGTGTCCGCCGTTAAGGGAGCCGCCAAGCCGAAGAGAGTGAGGAGGCCGAAGAGTGGGCCCGGCGTCTCCTATCTAGATCTCACCAACATCTACCTGATCAAGCCGGAGAGCAGTGCGGCCGATTACCTTGTTGCCCAGATGTACGTGGGGCCGTTCGGGCGGGTTAGGGCACCCAAGCCGACGGACCATGTTCTTCTTCCACCACCGGGGTACTTTGGAGTATACCCGATGAGTTTTGCCAAGGGGTTGAGGTTCCCCCTTCATCCTTTCATTACTGAGTACCTGGGCATGGTAGGGCTTCCTCCGGCCTTGCTGACGCCGAACAGTTACTCTTTGATGGTGGGGTTTCTGCTCCGGTGTGAGGAGTTGGGCTACCGGCCGACGACGGCACTATTCATGAATTTGTACCAGATAGGCCGAGGAAGTCACAAGAACTGTGCGGCCTACGCTACTCTTCAGCAGCTGCCGAAGAAGAGGAGCTTCACGGATTTGCCTACGTCCATTCATGGGTGGAAGAGCAAGTTCGTGTTTGTGTCCATTGGTGAGAGTGGCACTGAGTTTCCCTCCCTCAGCCACACCGGGAGGTTTAACCTGCATGACCCGCCGAAGAGCTCTATTTTGGACGCTCAGGTGGAGGCTTTCTTGGAGGGGGGGCCGAGGAGCGTGAAGGATTACATCACGGAGTACAAGATGGCCGCCCTTGGCTTCGTGAGGTACTATGTCTATGGTGACAAGGAGGATGACCTCCAACTCTGGCCGAGGATGACCACCACCTTTGAGGAGGCCGACGGCCCGGACTTGGGCATTCCTGCTGAGGCCGATGGTAATTCTTTCTTCGGCTTTCTGTCTTTATGTTTTGTCCTTTGCCTTACTAATCTATTTGTGTTTTTCCTTTGTAGATTTTGTCATGGACCGTCGATCCATGATGGCTATTGCCAAGGCCAAAGCGGCCGAGGAGATTGCTGCTAAGGCGGCCGAGGCGGCCAGACGTGCCGCTGCTGGTGGGAGCGGGGCTACTGCTGACGCGGCCCCAAAGCCTGCCCCATCCAAGAAAAAGAGACCGGCCACTGACGGCCAGAAAAAGTTGACCGAGGCCGGCGTGAGCGTCTCTAAGAAGACGAAGAGGGCTCCTTCCCCTTCTCCGGCTAGTGAGGCCGGTACTCTAACTGTCCCCAGCGTGGGCGATGGTGGCCCCGTTGTGGACCTTACTGTTGCTGACGATGCTGCCCCAGCGCTTCCTCTCGTCCAGGAACCACGGACGCAGAGGGCCGGCAAGGAGATTGCCGGTGCCACCTATCAGAAGGTGATAGAGTACCCCGTCGGCGGGGGCGTGTTTAATGAGCTCGTCCCCGGCCACGTCGTCCTGGCCAAGGCCATGCCGGCCAAAGATCGGGCTCATTTGAAGAAGCTCGAGGACCCGAAGATTTATGAGGGCGGCATGGACCTCCTCGTCCAAGTAAGTGACTGTCCTTATATTTTTGTCTCTCTTCGTCTATGTAGAGTTTTTCGCCTGACCTTTGTTTTCCTTCTGCAGAGTGCCTTCATGCTTATGGAAAGCCATAAGAGGCAGTACTGGGAGATAGCTCGCCTGCAAGCGCTGGAGCAGAAGGCTGCCTCGGCCGACGAGGCGGTAGCTTGCCTTGACCGGCTCAGGGAGGATGCCAAGGCACTGCAGGCCAAAGCTGATGAAGCCGTCGCGGCCAGGGACGATGCCCTGGTCAAGCTCGAAGAGAGCAAGAGGGAGCTCGCGGAGTCCCACAGGGCGCTTGAGGCCGAGAAGCGCAGGAGCGAGGAGGCCGCCAAAGCGAAGGCTGAGGCCGAGGCCGCCGTCGTGAAGGCTGCCGATGAGGCCGTCGAGAAGTTCTTGGCCGAGGGGTGGAAGGCCGATGAGAGGCTCCCCTGGTGCTACGAAGTGGTGGCCGCCAGGCTGGAGAATTGGGGGATGAACTCCCCTGCCGGCCGGGAGTATTTCAGCCGGGAGATGTCCGTTTACTACAACCTGGGCCAGGAGCGGATGCAAAGGCTCCTGTGTCGGCGGCTATCCCGGGCGTTGAAGGCCATGAATTACACGTCTGGATGGGCTAGACGGAACCTGAAGCTGCCAAAGCTGATGAAGGATCCCGAAGAGCAGGCCAAGCTTCCGCTGTCGGAGCGGGAGTCCCCCATAGAAAGCTCCGGCCTCGGCGAGCCGGACTACACTGAATTTGATTTCTTAGATGATGCTACCAGCGCCGCTGCCGGTCAAGAA